AAGAACATCAAAATATGTCTTTACTCTAGGAGGCGCTGTTGTTTCTTGGAAGTCCACGAAACAAACGTGTATCGCACGATCCACAATGGAATCCGAGTTTATTGCTTTAGACAAAGCAGGTGAAGAAGCAGAATGGCTTCGTTACTTCTTAGAAGACATTCCAATGTGGCCAAAACCTGTGCCAGTTATTTGCATTCATTGTGATAGTCGATCTGCAATAGGCAGGGCACATAATCATATGTATAATGGTAAGTCACGACATATTCGTCGTTGACATAATACCGTAAGGCAAGAGATACTCACAATAAGAATCACCTATATGAGTGTTGAACTGGGGCCGGTTCTATGAGAATGAAGAGGCTAAATTTTCTAGACACACTTATGAAAACCAGGCGTGTTCAAGGCCAAAATGAACACAACTGTGAGAACCACGATGTGTTAGAGGATATTTTGTGTGAAATCTATTGTCTTGGCTTACACAAACGGCTGAACAATTCAAGGCATCGCGTCCATTGGTTAGCCAGTAAGTCCGATAGGTTATCACTAGGGAAGGTTCAAAGCCGAAAACTACCTATCCTGATGCAAGATATTTTCGACTTATACTCTTTCGTAAAGTCTGCATATTGTTGCATTTCCGTTGTCATCAAATTCCATTCATGTGGGGGATTGTTGGAAATGGGTGGGAAGTTTTGAAAGGGTTTATAAGGCTTAGGGTGAGATACTTGGGGTGTGCCCCAAGGGGTACCCAAGTGTTTTAGAGGGAGAGGTTATGGGCAAAATGGGCTAGACCCATTGGACCCAAAAATCACCATACGTGCGCGCGCACCGCCGCCGTCCGTCCGGTCGGCTGGGCGGGCTGGGCTGGGGTTGGATTTGTTCGGCCCAATATTAATCTTTTTAGGTCAAAAACATTTGAATTTAATTTTATTTTTTGGTAAAATAAAATCCAGAATTCAAATTAAACTGGTTTGGATTTACTGTTCAATCCAAACAGGGCCTTTCCCGTTTTCAAACAGAATTAAACTAGTTTGGATTTACTGTTCATCCAAACAGAGCCTTTCCCGTTTTTTATCTGTTTGAATTATTAACCCAACAGATTCAAATCTGTTTAAATTTGAAACTAACAGGTTTCATATCTGTTCAATTCAAAACCAAGAGCCACCTTTACATCTATAAATAGACTAGCCTCCCATTTGGATTTCACACCAATTTTCGTACTCCATCTTCTGCTTTAAATCTCTGCATTTTGTTGCATGTTATTTCTAAAAGAAATAGTGTAAACACTTTGTGTGTTTGACGAACGATTAAATTGTAGTGCTGCTTTTATTCGTTGATAAGATCATTTTATCTTGGGAGATAGACGTCCAAATTCTAAAAGTACCGTAAAGAGGACGAATCTGTCTTAAGGACACAGTGTTAAACACTGGACTTGATCAGAAAAGTTATTCAAATAAATTAACCAAGTAAGTTGTTTAATTTTATTCTGTTTTTATTTGTTTATTTAATCAGATTTTATTTTTGTTTTTGTAACAAAATAAAATCTGTGGTTTTATATATTTATTTATTATTTCGAGTTTGATTTTTGTAATCAGACATATTCTCTCATTTTCTTTATTTCTTTATATTCTTGTTGTTGTTTTGTATACAACAGAATTTAATTTAATTAAATACAGTGAAGATTGTCCAACATCAAGTACTGCAAAAAGAAACAATTTCATTTCAATGCAAATTTTTATATACTTTTATACAAATTTCTTACATATTTCAACGTGATTGTGCAGTTACATGTAGTGTGTCCAACAAATAACATAATGTTTAAGAATTATATGGTCCTAAAAATAAGAGAATGGTAGAGAAATAATTAAAAACAATGAGAAATTTTTGGATGTTGTGGGGATATATTTTCTGAATACCAACACGTGGCATGGTGACGCCGACATGTCAGCCGAGGTGCCACGTGTCGTGGTAGTTAGGCCGAGGTGATCTCGGAGTTGCCGAGGTTATCTCCGAAGATATCGGAATCCGAGATAAACGAATAAGGGACAAGAGTCCTAAGACGAAGAGGGGACTTAACCAAGATAAGGATAAAGCTCTTAGGGAGTTTATCTTTATCTCTTGAGGAGTCCAAAGTAAGCACAGAATTGGAGTTCATAGAAGTCATACTTCTAGTGGGACTTGGATTGAGTATATTATAAAAGAGAGGCACCCCCGTGGGTCTAAGGTATGCATTTTATGTTTTGAGTATTAAGTTTAGCACTTGATTATCCTTGAGAAAGATACTGACTTGATTGTCGGAGTGTCCCCGGGTGGAAGAACCACCGCCGGAACCTTTTCTTTCTGTTGCAGGTTGCTGAAGCCATCTATTCTGCCTGTGCTCTCCAGTTGATCACTGAGTAGGCAGTGTGGTCAGATTTTCACCCACACAATTTGGCGCCGTCTGTGGGAATCTTAGAAGAATATATGGCCAGTGACGGAGAAAGAGAAAACATTGGGGGCAACACTCCTACTGGGAGCGGCAGACCAATTGACCTTGACATTGAAGGAGACAACCACAATACAGAAGCCCGTGACCAGGGTCACAGAGAGAAAGACGTCATCCAGGAGGGCGACACATCAAAAAGGACAGACCAAGGAAAGTACTACAATGAAGATAACCTCCAGGTATGGAGGGACAGGTGCCTACGGAGGGATGAGGAAGTGAAAGAATTGGCAAACAAGTTGGCAGACCTTCAGTCAGTCGTCAACTTCATGATGCAGAATAATGTTATGCAGCCACCATACCCGCTGCAAGATACGCCGATGCCAGCAACCAACACCCAGAAGGGCGGAAGAAAAACAATCCCCGAGGTCCCTCAGCATACCAGGAGCGGAAGGCATTCTCACCGGCCTTCCAGGGAAGTCGGACGAGAAAAGCCGAGGCAAGAAGAGTCCCGAAGGACGCACCACATGAAGAATCCAGAACCCAAAGAACATCGGCATGTTCGAGGGCAAGCACTCTGCTTTGACACAACCCATGGAGAAAGATCCAAACGGGCCCACCATGAGGCCGAAAGCAGTGTACCAAAAAGACTAAAATCCAAGGACAGCCGAGCTCCAAGGAGGAGCAAAGAAGACCTGAGGGACTACCTCAAAAGGAGACAGCAGAATGTCGAAGCCGAGGTAAACTCCCCAGTAAAACCGAAGACAGCCTTCTCGGTGGAACTGGACAAATTCAAACCACCAAAGAGATTCAGTATGCTGAGGTTTCAAATTTATGATGGTAAGTCGGATCCAAACTTTCATGTTGGACTATACCTGAATTCAATGGCATTATATAGCGGGAACGAGCCGCTGCTCTGTAAAGTATTCCCCTCATCCTTTGGGGAAATTGCATCTGATTGGTTCCATAAATTACCAAAGGGAAGCGTAAAAACATGGGAAGGCCTGGCCGAGATGTTTGTGGCCAGGTTCGTGACCAACAAGCTGCAGCCCCTAAGGGTTGATGCTTTGATGGCTCTAAGAATCGCCAAGGAA